TTTCTATAAGACTTAGACAAATATAATGCATTTTTAATATGCAACTTTGTTCCTCCCGGTAACAATATATTAGCTCTTCCGGAGCCTTGAATTATATTTGTAGTACCAGATATGGTACTAACATTGATTTCTCGCATCACTAAATTTAAGAAAAATTTATTATTCTTAAGAATCATGTGAGTCGTTGCTCTATCAGCGAGACACATATCTTCATTATTAATGCTATTGTCAATATTCATTCTTTATAAAAATTAAAAAAAAATGTAAATAAGTAATATGATAATATTTCAAATAATAACAATCTAACAATAATATCTATATTAAAAAAAATTCATAGTTCAATAACATCAAAACATAAGAAATACCCAAAATCCAATAATAATAAAAAAAGAAAAAAATTTATTTCTAGACACTCTCATCACTAATAAGGTGATCAATTTTTCCATTTGGGTCAACAAAGAAATCAACAACATCTAAGTGAGTAACATCCATACGACCATAATCTGAATCGTCGTCTTCATAAGCAAAATGTGTCTCTATCTTTTTCTTCTTATTAAGTGATTCTTGGTAAAGTTCAACAAGATGCTTTGATGTACGATAGGTACGTGACCAATGACCCTTGCCACCACAATGATAGTATTTGTTTTCCTCGTGTTTGTTACCATGTCCATCCATTTCTTTTTTATTTTTTCCATTATTTTCCACTTCTGGTGTGAAAAATTGTTCTTTACCTCATAACCATGACAACGACTGCCTTTATGACCACGACCACGACTATTTCCATGGTCGTGACCATAACCATGACCACTAGTTTGTTTATCATATGTTGCAACATTCACTTCTAGGAATGGAGTGGAGCCATTTGGTCGAGCCTCATGATTTTTTAATAAAAACTCATTATTTTGCTCTACCACAAGGACGCAGAAAATTAATTCAACATATTTCTTAAACCCCTTTTCTCGATATTGTTGCTGCAAGAGCACATTAGATGCACGAAAAGTGGAGAACATTTTTTCTAACATATCTTCATCAGTAATTTTTTCTTCACACAATTTCAATTTAGAAGTAATTCAAATATTGCAGAATTATATTCACTTATAGATTTAGAATCTTGTAATCGTAAATGCATCCAATCATAACGAGCTTTTGGGAGAATCACAATTTTTTGGTGGTCATAGCTTTCCTTTAAATTGTTCCAAAGAACAAGGGGGTCTTTTATGGTAAGATATTCAGCTTTTAACCCTTAGTGAAGGTGATGACGAAGAAAAATCATAGCTTTAGCCTTATCTTGATTAGATGCTAAGTTTCCTTCTTTAATAGAGTCTCCAAGACCCATTGCATCTAAATGTATTTCAACATCTAATATCGAAGATAAATAATTCTTTCCCGTAATGTCAAGAGCAACAAATTCGAGTTTCACAATATTTGACATGTTCAATACTATCATAAAAGAGAGACAAATTTAGGATAAAGAAATAAATGAATCATAAATAGCCATAAAATTAAAATTATAAATTAATTATTAATAGTGTTTTAATTATGGAAATCAATTTGTCTCTGATTTAATATATATTATCACACACAAAATAAATAGAATCCATGGTAAATATATATATATATATATATATATATATATTGATATGACAGAAAAAAAATTATTGCAAAATATTTAAATTGATAACATGAGCATAAAATATGTGTGAGTAGAAAATATATGTCATAATATTCATTATTATTATTATATTTATTTATTAGGCAAAATAAATATATTCATCATTCCATATAAATTAATGTATATTAGGCAAAATAAATGTATGTAATATCTAGAATGTATTACGTCAATGAAACATTGATATTTTTCACTTCTGGTGAGAAAAAAGATTCATAAAGTAAAAGAAGTTGAACATTCTTCTTTGATAGTGTCTTCTAGACACATTTCAAAAATGTATGAAGAATTTCTTTATTTAATAGTGTTTTCAGGACTACCATAATATCTTCAAGACTATTTTGATTCATAACAATCTAAATAATACAAATATTTGATAAAATTCTTATTATGGAAAATAAATAACTAACCTTGAAATATTTGTCTTAAAAAATATGACTTTCTTCAAGAAAATTCTTCACAATTTTGTCTTGTAGTTGCAACAACAATAGAGGAAAGACTATCGTGCTGATAACGTGTTATGAAAGAGAGAAAAAGTAGAGAGAATAAACAAGGTAATATGAGATGGAGAAAAGAATTTAACTAATGTATTATCTTTGGGAGAGGACTAACCTATTTATAACTACATGTGGTAACTGAACAATTACATAAAAAGGAAATAATACATGATAGAAATATAAATGGTGATGATTGATAATGAATATTGATATCTACTAATTGAACCACTAATTATTATTCATAACAATTTGCATGTTTTCTTAATAATTTTTTTATCTCCAAATATCTTATTAATAAATGTTGCATCAATTAAATATGAATAAATGTTAAAACTCAACAATTAGTAGATGTTATTTTTTTTGTAAATTTTCCCAAATACTCTCACAAGCACTTATAAAATAAGATAAATACAAATAAGTTGTCTATAAACTCTTCTAAATAGGGCCTAAAATATTGTATCTTTGAAATTAAAAGCCTGACTGATTCTATTTTAAAATAAAGAGACAAAAAAATACAAATAAAAAAAATTTGATAGGTCAATCATGCAATTTGGTTTTTTTTTTTTAAATTATTTAACCGGCATACTAGTTATATAACCGCTAATAATAAAAGATAACTCTTGCGCATCAACATTTATTTATTTTATTGCTAATAAATGTCTCATTTGCCAAATACATTAGCTTCTTACATCAACATCTTACATTAAAATTACTAATAAATATGTAACATTTTTTTGTTCTTAAAAATTAAACTTTGGGGGTGTATTGGATTAGGATTTTGTAGGGCTTTTTTAGTTGAAAAAATTCCTACGAATTTTGAGGACTTTGTAAAATTTTCATGACTTTTAAGACTTTGCAAGATTTTACAAGACTTTAAATCAGGATTTTAATAGGTTGTGTAAGACTTTTAAGTCAAGATTTTAATGGATTCTACAGGGACTTTATAGACTTCACAGAATTTCATGGATTTTTGAAATACAATAAGAGTTCAAGATTTTTTTTCATATATTCAAATTTTAAAAAGACTTAAATATATATATATATATATTAATATTTTAGTTATATATTATATATGATAATTTTTTATATAATTAAAATTTAACAAATATTTTTAATCTTTAAATTATATTATAATTAAAATTCATAATAAATGGACATATTTAAATATAGAACTAAAATTTGAATTTACAATCAATAATTATTGATATAAAATTATTTTAAATATTAATAATTTTTAAAAATAAATTATCAAAATTAAATTAAAAAATAAATAAAATATAATAGACTGAAAGGTTAGATAATTAAAAAATTTATATAATAACATAAAAATAAAATGAATATAATTTAACATAATTGAGAGAGCTTTTTTAATTACAAAAATAATGTGTAAAATTAATATTAAAAAAGATAAATAATATTAAAATATTGAATTAAAAAAAAATAAAAATAATCAACTAAAATAAGTTAATGGAGACATAAAATATTTATAATGTAATGTAAATTATTCTAATTAATATTTTAAAATTTTATTTATAAATTTATAATTGTTGAGTCATAAAAGGAGTAAAGATTACCATAACAAACTCAAGGGAGGAAGAGAGATTGCAATTTTTGTACTAAGAGGGTTTTCCCCTCAACTAAGATCCATTCCCATCTCATTCTACTCATAGAAATCCTAAATTCATCTTGTATATATATATATATATATATATATATATTTGTTCTAATAAATCTAAATTGATTACAAAGTCTTAAAGATCTACGGTTGATTGTAGAGATCATGATATCAATTTCAGCTTTCATCTTTCCCTTTTCTTGACGTGTGTCATAAAAAAAAATTACTACTTAAAAATTAAAATTTCAAGCATTTTTTGTGTTACATATCTGAGGATTGATGTTTAATGTTATATTGTGTCATGAAACTAACTTTGTTATCTAACTCTTCTCATAAAATATAACTCTCAACATTTTTGGTACTTGGAAGATCTAATACATATAATAATATGACATATTAAATGATCAGTATCTGAAATATACATACAATTTTTCACAACTATTGTATTTACACTTATCCACCTATCAACTAGACTAATCTTTACATATTAATTTTATACATCAAAAGTATTAGGTTTAGTTTTCTTACTCTTTTCGATACCTTGATCCTGATCATTAATAACTCTACTTTATATATATATATATATATATGTATATATATATTACTAATAGTAGTAATAGAAAGATTAGTAGTAAGTAGACACTCTTTGTATTAAATAAAATTTTCGTTGTATCTAAATCATCCTCCATGATACCAAAATTGTCATCGACTTTTAATTCAAAATTAAATAAACTTACTCTTTTAGTTCACAATTCCCATAATAAGTTATAATTTATAAAGTTTAACAAGTCTATAATTCCTAATTTAATTCATAGGTAACAACAATAATTAATAAATCAACAACAAACAAAAATTTAATTCACAATTCTCACCAATAAGAATATGTCCATATCTTCATATATATTATTTCATTAATAGTTTATATTATTTTCACTTATCAATTTAAAACGAATCAATACAACTTATATCATGACTTGTCTGATTAAACATCTAGATTAAAATACTTAATTCTATTTTAGTTATCCTTTTGAATGTTTAGCTTCACCGTATTTCTAAGTTGGCCTTAGAATCCATCGGAAACCAAATTTACAACTTTAACGATGCTGTTAGAACTTACATGTTTTATTATAAAAGTAGAATTGAAGTTTTAAAGAATGAAAGAAACTGCTCTTTCTTTTTGTGTCTGCATTTTTTTTTCTTTTCTTTGGTCCAATAATAGTAAGACCCTTAATTTTCCACAATGGCCAGTCACAGCAACACAAGTACTTTTCACAAGTCTTCGCCTCTCTATGGTCCAAGTCTTCTCCTCACAAGCTTGGAAATTTTTGGCTTTCCCTTCTTTGACCCGTTCCACTTCTCTTTTTCTCGCATTCACATCCACACTATCATCTAAAAAGCTCAAAGGTAACTTATTTGTTTACTTTTATATACAAATTTTGCTGCTATTGCTTTTCTGCTGCTTACATAGTGTGTGTTTTATTGGGCCAGAGCGGAGTTTCCTGAAAGCTTCATGGAGTTTCCTGAATTGGGTTGTCCAAAAACCCAGGTGGGTATTTGAGAACTACCGCAAAATTTCATTTTTTTTCCCCATTTCATGTGTTGTATTAACTTGGTTTCTCAGGGTTTTCGTGTTATTTTTCTCCTTCTGTCAAGTGGTCTTGCTTTGTTGTAGTCTTAAGTATGGATATTTTACCCTTTCGTGACAACTTACATATAGTTCCATTGGTCTTGTCCAATCAAATCAAAATTGTAGTTTTACTTCGGGAATTTATGTTATCTTTTATACAAAATTTTATTATATAGATTATTGAGATGAACTTAAAAAACATCTAAAAAACTCTATCTAAGTTTTTTTTCCTTTTTATTGTTGGTTTTGTTTACTTTGGGATGGTTGACTTGGTTTGTGTAAGGTACTGAACTGTATTTTCCGCTCTTTGGTTTATTTTCAATGTTTTTACAGGGTGTGTTCATGGAAGAGGTGTAGTGCTATGGAGTTTATATGTTGTGATTGGATTGGATAGTAATCTATATTAGGTGTCTGGATTACTTATTCCTGGCTTGTCTTTAGGATCTTGGTGAAGATGGTTTTGCATAGCTGGATTTTCAGTTCTCATATTCTTGTTAGTTTCTGGTTGCTTATTAGTTGTGGCATGACCTATGGGACTGAGACTGATATCTTCTGCTTGAAAAGTATCAAAAATTCCCTTGAAGACCCCGAAAATTATTTGAAGTTTTCTTGGGATTTCAACAACAACACCGAAGGGTTCATATGTAGGTTTAATGGGGTTGAGTGTTGGCACCCTGATGAGAACAGGGTCTTGAATCTCAAACTGTCGAATATGGGACTCAAGGGCCAGTTTCCTCGTGGCATTCAAAATTGTTCGAGCTTAACTGGACTTGACCTTTCGATTAACAAACTTTCTGGAACCATTCCAGGAGATATATCTACTCTTATACCATTTGCAACAACTCTTGATCTATCTACAAATGAATTTTCTGGGGTGATACCTGTGACTCTTGCAAATATTACCTTTGTTAATACCATTAAACTTGATCAGAACAGACTCACTGGGCAAATTCCTCTACAACTTGGTCTTCTCGCACGAATTAAGGCGTTTTCTGTATCCAACAATCTTTTGACAGGGCCTATTCCAACCTTTGGCAATGGCGTTTCAGTAAATTATGCTAATAATCCAGGCCTGTGTGGACCTTCATTAGGACCTTGTCAAACCAAGTCTTCCAAGAGTAACATGGCTGTTATTGCTGGAGCTGCTGTTGGTGGAGTGACTCTTGCAGCTTTAGCATTGGGTATTGGAATGTTCTTCTTTGTGCGACGCGTTTCTTTCAGGAAGAAGGAAGAGGACCCCGAAGGAAACAAATGGGCTAGAAGTCTAAAAGGAGCTAAAGCAATTAAGGCAAGCTATATTGATGCATTGCACAGGACATATACGATTACACAACTATTATTTTTCTTGTAGGTCCATTTGTGTTTTGTAGCATTAGATAATTGTTTTAAAAAATTTCGATAGGAACTAGTTTGTTCGAAAACATTTTGATTTTATTTAAATGCTTGCAAGTTCCAACTGAAATATTTTCTCAATGAATATTATATTTCTTCGACTTTGTTGTGTATATTAATTGGCAAAACATGTTTTGCATACTTACATGCTGCGAGAAACAGGAAAATAAAATATTTTTCTAAATCAAACTGATATATTATACATTTGCTCTGTCAAAATTAGGAAATATAGAATATACTTTCTGAAAAGTTAGTTTCTGTAAAATTTAGAGCCTTAGTTCACATGATTGACACACTGTATTGAACTCTTATGAGAATATTATGCCCAAGTCTAACTATACTGAATTGGATATTAGGTTTCTATGTTTGAGAAATCAATTTCAAAAATGAAATTGAGTGATCTCTTGAAGGCTACTAACAACTTCAGTAATAGCAATAGCATCGGGTCAGGAAGAACGGGAACTGTTTACAGAGCTGTCCTTGATGATGGCATAACACTTATGGTTAAGAGATTACAGGAATCTCAGCACACTGAAAAGGAATTTATGTCTGAGATGGGTACACTAGGGACTGTCAAACATCGCAACCTGGTGCCTCTTTTAGGTTTTTGCATGGCCAAAAAGGAGAGGCTTGTGGTCTATAAAGACATGCCAAATGGAAACCTCCATGATCAACTCCATCCTGTTGAAGCTGTGAGTACCCTTGACTGGACTATGAGGCTCAAAATTGCAATTGGAGCAGCCAAAGGGTTAGCATATCTTCATCATAGCTGCAATCCACGTATTATCCACCGAAACATAAGCTCTAAGTGCATCTTGTTGGATGCAGATTTTGAGCCGAAAATTTCTGATTTCGGTCTTGCTAGACTGATGAACCCAATTGATACTCATCTGAGTACTTTTGTAAATGGGGAGTTTGGTGATTTAGGCTATGTTGCTCCTGAGTACACAAGAACTTTGGTTGCTACACCAAAAGGGGATGTTTACAGCTTTGGGACCGTTCTTCTTGAGTTGGTGACTGGTGAAAGACCAACCAATGTGGCTAAAGCGCCAGAAACTTTCAAAGGAAATCTAGTAGAATGGATTTCGGAGCTCTCAATCAATGCAAAACTCAAGGATGCCATTGATGAATCACTCAGTGACAAGGATGTTGATAGTGAGGTTTTCCAATTTCTGAAGATTGCATGCAACTGTGTCTCACAAACTCCGAAGGAGAGGCCCACCATGTTTGAAGTGTATCAGCTTTTAAGAGCTATTGGGGGTAAATACAACTTCACAACTGAGGATGAGATATTGGTGCCAACGGATATTGGTGAACCTGATATGTTGGATGAACTTATTGTAGCTCGAGAAGTATAATATTGAAAGGTACGTGAGATATATAGGGTATAATAATATATGTAATTGACATTAAATTTTAATATGTAATTATCTATCTCTTTGTGGTCCTAAAATAAATGTTAGTGGTATATGTAGTTTTGAGAATCAAGATCCAGATGTGTGCTGTTGATATTGAAACATGAATATAAGATAATGAATCATGAAGTAGATATAGTTGAGTTACTTCTTTCTTATCCTTATTTTAATCTGATTTCTTTGTTCCCTCTCTTGGATGCTGATATGGATGATAGAAACTGTGTCATTAGTTTTCATTGACCATTTATTCCATAAGCTTTAGCTGTGAGATGAAGATTTATGATTAGTTTTTTTTATACAGATTTATGACTAGTATTTTTATATCTAACATTGACTCGTGTAAATTTAATACATAGTGCATTGACTATTTTGTTCTTGAATCTCTACAGGGTTAATTTGGTAATTACAAAAAGCAGAGAAAAAGGACTATGTACTATAGGTGTAAAACAGTTTCACTATATATGGCATGTTTGTTGACTTTTACAACTATTATTTTAAAAGTCACTAATAATTTTGATTGGTTGATAGCATAAAACATATTACATTGAAAGTGCATGGCTAATAAAACTCAAAAAAACTTTTATAAAAGAAAAAAAAAAAGCATTTTAGCTTTCACAAAATGCATGTCTCGTGAAAATTGATGTTTTTGGTGAAATGGTTGTGTCAAGATAGACCTCCTTTACTAGTCTTTCTATATAAATTTGAAGTCACCTAATTTCCTTGATGTTTCTGTCATAACGATGATTCCGGAAATGTTGAATTCCTTATGCTATGTAATCACTTCTTAATATGATTTAATGATACAATAATAGCAATGTTCTACGGAAGATTGACTTCAGTTTGAGATTGTGCCAAACAGGACAGGAAGAAAAAAATAAAATCCTACTATTTAGAGATGAGAGAAAGGGATAAAATATAATTAATAGGTTGTTACACCTTTATTAATAATAACAATGAGAATGAGAATTTATTTATTTATTTTTGAATAATTTAGTTGGCACAATTCAAATATCGTAAACCATTTTTTCTTTTGTAAATTTCTTAGAACTGAAGGGGAGTTGGGAAAAAAAAATCATTAAACCCCTACATTTTCATTGAATAAATAATACATACAGATATCTAATTTGCCATGTGTTTTGAATTTGATTTTATAATAACTATTTTAAAATTCGTATTAACAATAATTTTTATTAATTGAAAGTATAATTTCAGTTTCTTTTTATATTGATAGAGCGCGTTAATTGAACTTATTTTTTTTATCTTTACAAATTTCTAAATCAAACAATGGAAAATTATAAAAGTTTATTGTGTACTTATTGTATACTAATGTATCTCTCCATTTGGCATTGGAAAGTAGTACCTTGTATACTAACGTACGGTACAAGAGCAAGTCAATGTCTAAAATGTGACTAATCGGTCTAATTTGGAATTTTATGAGTTACTTATTTTGTGGTTATGTTTAAGTGGTTGGGTGGTTCAACTAAGTTAAATTGATTTTGTGAGTTACTTATTTTGTGGTCAATTTTTTTTAACCTAGCTTGATCCCATCCTCTAGGTCAGTTTATAGGACCGAACTATTCTTAACACACAATAACTATGATTTTACCATTCTCAACAAAATACCTCACTTGATAATTGATAGTAGACTATTTTGCATCCATTAAATATCTTTTAAAAGCTTAACAAATTTAATCAAAACTAAAATATTTATTTTTCTCATATTTCATGTTTATATATATATATATATATATATATATATATATATATAT